ATTTTTCAAGTTTTTTTTTTTTTTTTTTTTTTTTTTTAGCTAGAGAATTACGTCTCTCAGCAGTAAACTATACCCACGAAAGGAAATTTTACGGTGTTGGGCGGGGTACTGAAGAATTTGTCCTGAAAATTTCCTAAATTGCCCTGAAAATAACTAGAAAATGTACAATTCGTTTGCCCTGGAAGGGAGGACTGACCTCCACCCGAACCGACCTGAGCCACGTACACATCTGTCTCTGTAAATATCAGCCAATTCTCTCCTCTAACTTGAAAATTAAATTTACCTGAGACGAAATTATATATTTGCCAAATGTAGGTACTCTGACGTGTTTTAAAAAAAATATTTTCACAAAATGCATATAATCTAGCTTAGGAACAAATCTTAAGTATCAAATATCGCTTACTGACAAAAACATTCAAATTTCGATTTTCGTAACTGTTCGATTTTTGTTTTTTTGTTTTTATATATATATATATACGAACAAATATAGTGGTTAAATTAATACATCCTTTAAATCGAACCAACGCTTACATTGTTAGCCCTGTTTGTGGTGTTATTAGGTCAGTCAGTCTGAATTTGCATAAAAGAGCTAGCAAGCTGACGGTATAGAATAGATTTGGGTTGATGTTGATAAGTAAGGTATTTATTTTCGGAAAATACCCGAACGTGGGGCATTCTGATTTCATTCATCCAATAGCCGTCAAGCCATTTGTCACGTGAACCTACTGCATTAGCAGCAGCTACTGTTCATTGTTAACGATAAATGATCACGTGATCAGCTCGGTTGTGTCGCTGTGTCCTTAAGAATGCTGTAACAGAAACCGTCATCCGTCCTTTCTTTTCCTTTTCTTTCTTTTCTTTAAAATTCATAAACTGTTTTTATGTAATTACTTTTTTTTATTTTTCAATGAATAGCATTTAGAAATTTATACGATACAATTTTTTTAGTTTAAGTTACCGATTTTCTTTCAGCATTTGGTAATATTTAAAAAAAAATAGTTTTCTCTAATTTTTTTATTATTAACAGCACCAGTGAAAATTTCACGATTTTGCTATTTGCATTTTCTGATGAATCATAATTTTTAATTTATTGATTGAATAAATTTCTTTCGAGTTCTACGATCATATAAAGTACTGTGCGAATTAATTGAAACAGTGACTTCAGCTTAATATATTTTTCTTTTATACCGTCTTTGGACAGCGTTAAACGACTCCAAATCACAATGAATCCATTAGAGTGACACTCCTGTTACAATAGAATACTTTTAAAACAATTTTTAATATTTTAGAATTTATTTGTGGCTAAACTTTGTATTTGGTTAAGAATTGTGTGATTTATATTGTTTTCCTTGAAAGTCAGATTTTTTTAAAGTTTTTTTTTTTTTTTTTACTGCTTCTGATTTCAAAACTAACCTGATTATTTTCTTTGAACGGATTAAAAAAAAAAAAAATGAAAAGCGTACACATGTTATTGCGCTCCGTGAGCATTCAATCAAATCTGTGTGACAAATCCAGTGTTGGACGCGTTGTAAAAAGGTAAGCTCTATAAGGTTCTGAGAAAGGGAAGTTGTGGAAGAAAACGAAAAACGACCAAAAGAGACGAAGCAATGCTGCTCAGAAACAGCATTAAAAATCCGAGGAAGAGTAGCAATGACTTGGTAGCAGATTTAGTGGAATCCAGTGTGTCTATATCTGACTGAACTGTCAGGAGACGGATACTTGAAATTGGAGCGACCATTCAGAAAACCACACAAAAATATTTTCACAGGAAGAATGAAAGGTAAACGACTCGAATGAACACACTCTCATAAAGATTAGATGGTGGAAGATTAGAAAAAAATGTTGTTCTCGGATGAAACGCACTTTGAAGTAAGAGGTCATTGATTCCGCTTTGTACGGAGATGCAAAGGTGAACCCATACTAGGTGGCCATATTGTGCAAAAGCCAAAACATGTTCCCAAGAAAATGTTCTGGAACAGTTTTACTGCAAATGGTTTATGTAGAGTGAGAATAATTGATAGGATGAGGAATAGTACAAAATATGAAGATCTTTTGAAAGTTCATATACTCCCAATAATGGAAGAATTTTACCCAGCTGGAGTGTGTTTGAGCAAGATAATGCCACATGCCACACATTGAAAAAAAAAGCAGATTTTCTTTCAAAACGAGGCTGTAAATGTGTTGGACTGGCCAGGAAATTTTCCTGATTATTGAAAACTTGCGGGGTATTGTGAAACAACGAGTGATAAAACACGACTGTACCACCACGAAGAAGCTAATCAGTGTGGTCATTCAGATATGGTATCACAATGAAGAATTGGGCAACAATTGAAACTAAACGAATCTATACCAAAACGTGTTTTCATAGAAAATATTCGTCCTCCGACAAGATTCGAACCTGTATCCTATACGGAACGTTCATTTAGCTTGACGTGCCTTTAACCGATTGGGCCACGAAGGAGCGCTCGGATAGCAAGGTCGATTTTACTGTATTTAAACTTCAATCTTCCATGAATCTCTCACGTACATTCATGTCTGCTCATGGCGTATCAAATGTAAACAAATGACGTCACACATTATGAACTGGACAAAGTTCGACAATTAATTTAAGACATTTTTATGTTTATACATTCTTTTTATAGATACAAATGTTTAAGTAGATGCTCTGTTTATAATAAACAGTATTAAACAACATTTACCGGCATGAATGTCCGAGAAATTTTTATAGAAAATATTCGTCCTCCGACAGGAATCGAATATAGCCTGACGTGCCTTTAATCGATTGGGCCACAGAGGAGCGTTCGGTTAGCAAGATCGATTTTACTGTCTTTAAACTACAATCTTCCATGATTCTCATCAGTTACATTCATATCTGCTCATGACGTATCGAAACGTAAACAAATGACGTCACAGAGCATTTACTTAAATATTTGTATCTATAAAAAGAATGTATAAACATGAAAATGTTTTCAAATAATTTGATATGTCATTTCCCTACTTTATTGAAGTCACTGTCGCAACTAATTCGCACAGTACTCTAGAAATTCCTTTGTTGTATCGTTAAATATTTGAGCTGGACAACTTTAAGAGAATTGTGTAATAAGTAAGAATGCAGGTCATTATTTAAAGAAGTAAGAAGGTACAAATGAAGAATTTAAAATTGACATTGTCTCTTTTTGGTTCTGAATTTAAGTGTCCTTTTCGTTCCCATTTTCCTTAAAATTTCTTCGTTGCTCACATATTCAGTTCATGGCATTCTCAGTAACCTTTTGTAGTCTCACATGCCTTTTGCCTCAAGTTTCCTCTTCATCTGTGAGGAAATTGTCAGGTATTCACTGCCATATAGAAGGGTCTATATTACATTACAGTCCAGCATTCTTTGCTTTGTTTCTAATGAAATCTTTCTGTCGCATAATACGTTGTTGCAGCTTCTTTATTCTTTTATGTGCCTTGTCCATTCACGATGTTCACGATCATGGCCCTCCATATCTTCCTGTCCTTTGTAGCGCTTAATAAGTTTTGTCTTTTTGTTATTTCTCTCAAACCCCATTTTACCATTTGCTTAAGTCCATCAAGTATGTTACTCACTGCTTTCCTCTGTCCCTCTTTCCTTCTATCCGTCCTGTGAGTATCAGATTTTCCAAGCCTTCTTTCCTCATTACCTGATCCAGAAATTTCAACTATCTCTCCCTAATGTTAAGTATGTTTCCTTTTTGTTTCCATTTTCTCCAAAACCTCGTTGTTGCTCACATGTTTGGTCCATGGTATTCTCAGTATCTTTATGTAGAACCATATTTCTGTTGCCTTTCTCTTAGCTACCATTTTTGTTTGCGTTACAAAGAGAGGGAAAAAAAAGTGATTCTTTTCTTGATGTACTGATTGTTTACCAGCAGAAGGCTGTAGAATAGCCCGACCTAAAATTTGTGAAACAAAAAAGAAAAAAAAAAAAAAAAAAAAAAAAAAAAAACGATAATAGTCAGGATGAAGCAGGGAAATATAATAAATTGTTTCAAAATTACAAAAAATATTGAATCTTTTATGTTTTAATTACTTTTAAATATCTCGTCTCTTTCATTCGACATTCGTTTTATTTTCGATGATTTTTTTTTTAGTTACAATTATTCAGGTCCCGCCCCCGGGAATCTAGGACACAACCCCCCGCCGTCTCTGCTACATCTCAATTTCACTTTAACTTAAATATATACAATAATGGGTCACATATGCAATACAGGTGAGCAATTCAACTAAAAAAAACTGAAAATAAATACAATGTACCTGAATACAAATTAGAGACATGTCGTAATAGATTATTGCATCTTAAATAACTCAACAATCTTTTACGGCAGTTTGTAACATCACTTTGAGATTTTTCTAGTTAAAAAGTTGAATGGTTTTAACACATTCAACATTATAGATAAAAAAAAAACAAAACAAACAGTGAATTCAAAACAGTGAATTCTATATAGTGTTTTTTTTATTTTTTTTTTATGACTTAGCATGAGCAAAAAAAATTCACAGATTTGGACGAGAAAAAAAGACCACAGAATGACGTCAAAATTTGCAAAGATTTTTCATCCTTTAATAGTCAGTTGTGTTTAGTTGGATTTGTAAAGTAAGTAGAAAAAAAGCAAATGCTGATAAGATAGCGAGGGACACAAAGCACCGCCCGGGGCCCCAATCAGGCTTTCTCCCGCCCCGGTCGTGTGGGTTGGAGTTAGTATGAGCCGGTCATGGAATGATTATTCACTCCACTATCTTTTTGTTTTTATAAAATTTTAAATGGAGGATTTCAATATATGTTTTTTACATAATTCTACATATTTTTTTTGTTTTGCTTCTGATCTAATCGATTTGTATTATAACTATTTATTTGTTTTCTTTTTTTTTTTTTTCTGCCTAAGTGGTTAAGATCGGGAATTAGCATATCTATACACTGATTTATTTGGACTTGCATTAGTGGTTATAACCCCGTCTGCGCGTGCTGTGTAATCCAGTACAACCTGTACTATGTTAGTGAGGGAGGAGGTGGAAACCAACAAACAAGCCTCGTTATGACGAGAAATGCTAGGAATAGATAGATAGATAGATAGATAGATAGATAGATAGATAGATAGATAGATAGATAGATATATGAACAGACTTAGATAGATATGAACAGACTTAGATAAATATATAGATGTGAACTGATTTAGATATATAGATACATACATACATGCATAGAGAGACAGACAGACATACTATGTCAGATTTTATTACGCTAGTCAATGTTATCACAACCAATCGACGTTGGTAAAGATTTAAGGATATACTTATATTTATATGATATGTTAATATATGTTATATGATATATGTTTTTATAAGAAATATTAACAAAGACTTAATTGGTGGTCTGAAAATTTCTGAATTAAATGATTAATTTAATTAAATAATTACAAAATCCCAGTTATTGATATTTATTCTTTAATTTCAGAAAGGTTGAGGTGGGCCATAAGAAAAATGAAAAGAGAAACTGGATAATGTAAAGTTATTGAGTAAAGAGAAGACATTAATTGTATATTGCAACAATAATATGAACAGGGATCATAGGTAGATAGATTTGAACATACTGACACACACACATACATTGTAACAATATATATATATATATATATATATATATATATATATATATATATATTTTGGCTAGTGATTTTATAGCATATTTACGTTATAATTTTCGAATAAATTATAATTCTGTCTATATCTATATATATATAAAAGCGTTTAACACCGAAATTATTCAAATCATGTAACACCAAAAATTGTCCAAGAGTAAGCTTTGAACCGTTGTATCGTAGAAATGATTAAAGATATCTTACTGGAATTCTCCGATGTTTTTATAACGCTGTTGGGCACTACTGTGGACAATAACAATGTATAATTATTCTCCAATCTTGACAGAAGTATCATGATGAAACCGATCATAAACGAAAATGATATGTTTATCATTAATTTTTCATAGCCTAAGGATTTAAGCTCCTGAAGGATTGAAATAACATTCAAATATATATGTTATTTCAGGATCATTTTCCAGCTTATTCATAGTGATCATCGCCCTATCTAAATCTTCTAACTTTCTGTCCTGGAGTAACAGGATGCCTCACAGGTTTCACCTACGATTTCATTTTCAGGACTTATTTCCAATGCTCTTTGGACTGTCATAGGTGAAACTCCTCTCTCACGTGCCAAATGTCTTATGCATTGAGTTGGATCTTTTCTAATTGATCTCTTTAGCTCTAATTTAAATGTTGTGACCTCCTGATCCAGTTTTCCTCTCTACTGTTCCCTCCTTTTTAAACTTATTTATCGTTCTCGTGATAGTTCTTAAAGTGGCTTTGAAGATGGAAGCCAGAGTATGAATGTTGGTACTACTACTGAAGGCCTGAATGATTTTTCCTCTCACTTTCCTCGGCATTTATTTTCAAATTTTGTATTTAAATTGTTCATCTATATTGCATATGATCCATTATTTTACATAATTAGGTTACAATAAAATTTGTATTTTATATGAATAGAGTCGGCGTCCCGTATCATAGATTCGAGGCGGGGGGTGCACGACATCCATGCATCGGCCCTGAATGTAAAGATGATTGTAATCGTAATATTAGCTGTTTCTTTACAAGGAAACATTTGGTATTCATTAACCAGGCAGCCAGTACTGCTTTATTTATAAAATCGTTCTCTTAAAACAATTTTTCAGGAAAATTGGCTTTTCAAGTTCAGTAGCTGTTATCGCTCTTTCTAGTATTGATTGGGGTTTCCTTCATAGTCTTTTATTTGAAGTAGTGTGGAATGTCAGTATTTTGATTATGTCATTATTTTCTCTTCGATTTACATGTGCTATGCATTTTCATCTTTGCAGCTTTTGGTAGTCCTCTAGTGATGTGGTTTCTGTTGTTTGGTACAGTTTTTCGTCTGTAATTCTGTACCCCCAGCCAACAATGATCAAAGAAGCATGGTCTTTGTCAAAACTCTTAGCTTGCATTTGTTCAAATCCATTTTTAACAAAAATGGTGCATTATAATAACTAAGAAAACTGCTTAAACATAAGAAAGAATTCAATGTGTTAATTTTAATTAAATACTAGCAGTAGAGCCCGGCGTTGTCCGGGGATGTAACAGTAATAGATAGATCAAGTATCGACCATCATAAAGACTGAAAAATAAAATTGACAAAGATTATTGTTTAAGGTTGATGGACACGCATGTCTTAATTAGTTTTTTGGGGTTATTTTTTACAAATTGGTCAAACCCAAACTCAAAAACATTGTTTTCAATCATTATGAGTCTATCGATTGAATAGAATTTTATTATAAACAATTGTCTTTTAAATGAAATTTTTAAAGCATTCTGAATGTAAAAAGAAAGAAAAAAGTGTGCAAGACAATAAGAAACACTACCTGTCAAAAAAAAAGTGAAGTTTTGTTGAAATCGGTTGAAAAATGTAGGAAATCCGATCCCATATATAAACGAACACACACACACAAACAACCTGGGTTTTATAATAAGTATAACTCGACATGAGTTGTCCCCCTTTCATTCTGGCGACAGAATCGTGTTTTATCGTGTTTTCAAATTGATTTCATGCAAAAAAAATATGTTTTTCCAATTTTGGGCGCTGTCAAAACCACCGCAAGGTAATTTTACGCAGTCCTGTAAAAGTTTTGTTGAAATCGGTTGAAAAATGTAGGAAATCTGATCCAATATATAAACGTACACACACACACACACACACACACACACACACACACACACACACACACACACACACAATCTGCGTTTTATAATAAGATCACTGACAAAATGTTTAAAGAATAAAAAATGATATCAAATGTGAAGAAGAATAAGGAAAATGATCTTTCAACAGTAATTTTTAACGATTAAAATAGAGCTACATTCGACATAGCCGGCAGCTTGGCTAAAGTTTGGCCCCTTCTGGAAAAAGTGTTAACACACACAAGTTAAAAGATTCATTCAAAATTAAAAATGGCGTCAAGAGAATTACTGTAAGTTGTTGAAGAAAATTTTTTTTATGTATTATCAGTCTTATGACAGTTATGCGAATTATGTCTTATCCTGTATGACAGTAAATGCTGGAGAATCTTATCACAGATGAAGAAGAGACGAAGCAACAGAAATGTGATTCTACAGAAGGATAGACTGAACATGTGAGCGACGGCTTTTCAAAGAAAATGGAAACAAGAACATACATGACACCGGAAAGAGACAGTGGAAATTACTATGGCAAATAAAGAGGAAAGAGGGCTTAGAAAATATGGCACCCACCAGAAATATTGAAGTCAAGAAGAACAGAATAAAGCAGTACATTACCTACCCAATGAGCTTGGGTAAATGGTTGACAGAAAAGGGTCTAGGAGCGATGGCAGAATGGCAAACATTTCTAAGAGCTACAAAGGATAAGGAATTGTGGAGAGGCACGATTGCTCACGTCCTGAAGGGACACAGCACATTGCAAGCAACTATCTTTATGGTAAAGATGATATGTCTTCAAAATAATATTCCTCCACATTTGGCAAAGCCAACTAACTGTAGCACACATTGAGACAAAAATAATTAAAAGAAATGTTTACGAGAATGGAAAACAAATAAAAAGATTCCCGGGTAGCAATAAAAACTGCTGTACGCAAACATAAAGTCAAAACAGTAGAAAAATTAACAAAATCAACAAAGGAAAGACTGATAAATTTTGTAAAAAATCAATGGTAATAGTGAAATTAGGAATAAATGCAAATATATATATATATATATATATATATATATATATATATATATAGAGAGAGAGAGAGAGAGAGAGATAAACCTAGTGAGCCAGACAAACCTACCCAGGTTTCACCTAAGCGGATCGTCAGGGAAAGCTGGTTGTTTACTCGTGTCGGGGTTTTTTCTTTGGGCTTTAAACCTGTATCTGTGCGATTTTTTTCGACAGACTTTCATGTATCTAACTCTTTCTTTTTTAAAACCTTTTTTTCCTTCGTGATTGATTTGATTATTAGCAAATCAAGAATTCCAAGGTTTTTTCGAAACGAGTATAGCTACCATATATATATATATATATATATATATATATATATATATAAATATATATAAAAGAACTTTGAATTATTTACCTAACGAGTTCTTTCCTATTTTCTATATATTTTCACACACACACACACACACACACACACACACACACACACACACACACACATATATATATATATATATATATATATTTATACCATACTGTAACAGCAAAATTGTCCAATTGTTAGATTAAGCTCTGAACAGTTCTATTTAAGAAATGATTAAAGATTTTTATAAAACTATTCGAACAATAAGAATGTATGATCCCTCTTGCTGTTGTGACCCCCTAATCCAGTTTGCCACTCTACTGTTCCCTCTTTTTTTAAAAGTTATTCACCGTTCTCTTGATGTTTCTTGAATGGACTTTGAAGATGGAAGCCAGAGTATGAATGTTTGGCACCATTACTGAAGGTCTGAATGATCTTTTTCATTTCAACATTTCTCAGATGACAAGAAATAGTGGGGCTGACACAAAATGATTTTAACCCGTTCTCTTTCTAGCGGAATAACTCAAAGGCTGTTTCAGTGATTCGTACAACACATAGTTTCAAGATGGCCAAGCGTCTTATCTGAAAACCTGGAAAAAAGTAACTCAATTAAGTGTTTTTTTTTAGATATTAAATATTTTATGGGATTGACAGTTATCCCATGCTGTTACAGGATTTGAATAATTTTGTAATTTTTCTGTTACTACCGGTATATATATATATATATATATATATATATATATATATATATATATATATAATATATAACAGATAGATAGATAGATAGATAGATAGATAGATAGATAGATAGATAGGCTGATTGAAAAGTAAGTCTTTATTTTATGTATGAGCGGGCAGCCAGGAGTACTGATTTAACACCCTGTGACTTTTTTTTTTGGGGTTGTTGAACTGAACTTTTGTGTATATATATATATATATATATATATATATATATATATATATATATATATATATATATATATTTGTGCATTTTGACACCAATTCCTCTTTTATACAAGTTTCATTAAAAACGACTGACAATGTAGTGACAATAGGTTTTTATTTAATTTTTCTTGTGTTCCTATATTTTTTTCTTGTTTTCTGGACATAAATTATGTAGAATTTGTTCGGATGTTTTGTATCTCCGAGCGCTTTGGCTATACTTCTAGCCATTATCAAGAATGATTTTATTTTTACTTTTAACTGAATATATGGATACATAACATACAAAATTACAAAATATTCAAAATATTTTGAATTTACAGAGCTACTCCATACACATTCACAGATATTTGAACCCCCTGAAGATGGTCTCAGATGAGATTGAAAATACTTTGGAATATAACAATTATTTGAAAGAACATTTTGCAATTTTCTTCATTCAATTTTCTACAGTCACCAAGAAATTAATTCGTGGACTTGAAATGATTAAAACTAAAATAAATAAACATAATACGTCTAAATTATTTAACCAAACCTGTTTGAATGAAAATATGCTGCCTAAATGTCTGTCTGTCTGTCTGTCTGTCTATCTATCTATCTATCTATCTCTCTTTAATATATATATATATATATATATATATATATATATATATATATTTGTCGGAAAAATTTTGTCTTTTTTTTTCTCCCGAAATTAAAGCAAATATACTGAGAAAAATTGTAACATCAGTCTAATGTTTTTACCGCATTCAACATTATGGATAAAAAAAATAGTGAATTTTATACATTGTTTCTAGTTTTGTTTTTTTAGTTTGTTTTTTTTTTTCGTCACTCAAGATTCGGATTTGGGGAAAAAAAAGACCCCAGAATGACGTCAAAATCCGTTCAAGTTTATCATCCTTTAATAGTCAGTTGTGCTTAGTTTAATTTGTAACTTATATAAATGTAGGGAAGGAAAAAAACCCAGTGTTGATAAGATCGCGACTGTCACAAATCTCTACCTGGGCCTCCCAATCAGACTTGCCCACATCACATTTTGTGAAAGTGAGTCGAATCGTAAACTTTTTCAAGGTGTCCAAATTAGAAAGAACGAATATGCAATTCCTATTTTAGTTTATATATTTTTGTTTCCCTATTATTATTTTTTTCTCAAAATTAACTGTAAAGACGGGATTATCAGCCTTTCACCTATGTTTATATTCTCTTATTTACTTTGCGACGTACGTTGAACGCGCAAAAATCATTTTGCCAATTCGTCTTTATTTACGATTCAGATCGCTTTTTTCAACAACGCTTAATTGTAGTTTAGAAGTAACGCCGGACACAAAAAAGGCTCAGAGTACAGTAACCCAGCCCTACCCGACAATCACCACCATTAACGCCATGACAATCATCAGCAATAGCAACCACGATTAACGCCATGACAATCATCAGCAATAGCAATGAATAATACACCATCTGTCCCATGAACTGACGTTTCTCGTCTCGCTGAAACGTTGCTAGGCTGACGTCACTTCCTCATTGTCAGCATCTATGTTCATAAGTTTTTGTCTGTAACTTTAACATCACGCTTCAATGCGATTATGTGTGATCTCACTTAGTGGTTGAAACTGACTATCACCATGCAGTGTTGATTCTTATGTACACGGTACGTATATATATATATATATATATATATATATATATATAAACGCTTTATTTCTGATATTGAACATTCTTTATATATATATATATATATATATATATATATATATATATATATAATCCTTCGTTTATACATGTTTCATTAAAGACGACAGACAAGGTACTGTGACTTTTTATTTAATTTTTCTTCTGTTCGAACAAGTGTCTCCTTTTCTGGGTACAGAATGTGGAGAAACTGTCTAAATGTTCTATAATTCCGAACGCTTTCTGCTATATATTTAGCCATTATCAAAGATGATTTTATTTTTACTTTTTCAACTGGCTGTATGGGTTTTGTGTATGTTTCTAGCCTTCTATGGGGGTTTTATTTTCCGAACACAGTTAGCACATTGTTGTGTTCGGAGTTAATATTAACTTTAAGATTGAATACCAACTCAGATACAAAATAGCAGTGATCAAAAAAAAAAAAAAAACTTCCTAAAAAGAGCACACCAGAATTCATCCTCTCGCCTACTCTTCGTTAAACAATTCAACAATGCAAAATAGACACTAGTTAATAATGGCTTTCCTAACCACCTTATAGACCCTCAAATTAGGCTATTTCTTTCCAAAGTAAATAATGACAGTGAACACACAAAAATAACATAAATATTTTCTACAAAAGCCAAATACACGTCAACTACAAAGAAGATGAATCTTCACTTAGAAATATCATTAAGAAATACACGAACCCAATTGAACCCAAGAAAAAATCAAATTAATTATCTACTACAAAAAGTTTAAAACAGCTAACTTTCGCCTTAAAAATAACAACAGTCAAAATTACAACGAACGAATATTATTTATCAGTTCAAATGCCCCCTTAAGAAACTGTGTTCCTTATCAAACCGAATTCATAAATAATTACATAGGTCACACTACTACATGCCTATTCAGACGCTTTACGCTACACCTATCCGACCACAGCTCCGTTGGAACCCATTTAAACACAGACACAAACTTACCAGACTCCATCCGAAACATACTAGTAGAAAATGCAAATATAATAACCCCATCCACATGTAAAAAAAGATTAAAAAATAACGGAAGCCTTAATAATAAAAAAGAAAAAGTCAATATTCAATAATATTAACTACAAACACGGCCACAATGTGCTGTGTTCGGAAAATAAAACATCCCTATAACACCAGAAACATACACACAACCCATACACCCAGTTAAAAAGCGAAAATAAAATCATCCTTAATAATGGCTAAGAGTATAGCCGAAAGCGTTCGAAATTACAGAATATTTGGACAACTTTTACACATTCTGTACCCAGAAAAGGAGACACTTGTTCGAACCGAAGAAAAATTAAATAAAAAGCTTAATTGCAGTACTTTGTCTGTCGTCTTTAATGAAGCATGTACAAATGAAGGATTGCTTTGATGAAACATATATATATATATATATATATATATATATATATATATATATATATATATATGGAGAGAGAGAGACAGAGAGAGAGAGAGATAGTCTTAAGGTAAGCTATATTTATGGATTAAAGTGATCAATATCAGAGATAGAGCGTATGTAAATATAAAAGTAGCGATTGAAATCAACGCCCGAGAGGCGACAGTCTGTTTCATGCACATGACCTGACGATTGCGTTTTGCATGTATTTGTTGATGAGGACCTCAGATTCAACACGGGGGCCTACATCAAGTGCCATGCGGAGGTAGTGCTGCACTGGCTCAAGAGTTTGGCTGCACCATACCACACAAGCAGGAGAACACAGTCATGGCTGCGACCACATCAACCCTTACATCTGGTCACCTAACACACCGGACTGCAACCCCCTTGATTATTATGTGCGCGGCGCAATTAAGCAAGACAGCAACAAAACTCCTTGTAAGACCAAAGACAAACTGAAGGCAAAGATTATGGCAACATTCACCAACTTAAACAAGGAGACTGCCCAGAAGAGTTGCAAGAGATTCCGAAGTATTTTGAAGGTCGTGTCTGAAGCCAATGAGGATTGTATTGAATAAATTTACTCGTTAGTATTTCAAAATTTTTTGTGTAATTTTGGTGAATATATCTGTTAAAATGAGATGTCAGCGTTATTTTCATTTTTGCATAATTTAGAAGACACTTTATCTATCGCACCTATATATATATATATATATATATATATATATATATATATATATATATTGTTGTGGTAGGATCCACCTAATTTGCATAGTGGAGTACCGACCATATAAATATGGTTGGTACCGGGGAAGAGAGTGAGGAATCAAGAGATTCAACCAGAGACTTTGCCCGACTGCGACTCAGTCAACACATTCTCCAGGAACGGTCTTACCAGGAATATACAAAAAGACTATATGTAAATATTGTGTACACTTTCTTGTTTCAATACATTTTGTTCTAAGTAGATTTTGTGTTGCATTATTATTCCATGCATTAGTCAAGTTTCAACATATATATATATATATATATATATATATATATATATATATATATATATATATATCTAAGCCCTTGGGGTCGTGTCTGATGGACACGGGACCAAATTTAACACCCTTTTGGTCAACGACACTAGCTATGACGTCAATCATTGAAGATCATTGCCCACTGGTCGTCTAAGACTTGTAACACCGTAGCTGATCACTGATGTAACCGCTGCAGCCTCGAGCTTGCCCTATCCCACGTTGTGTATTTTTTAAATAATAGGGCAGTCAAGTTTGAATTACTGTCGGAGTCTCTCGTAGCAAGTTGATTCACAGGGTGAAGACGTACGAATAATAAAATAAATAATGCAACGCACGGATAGGAAAATAATAAAGTTCTCAATTCATATCGGTTCTTTGTTTTACAGTATTATCCCAGTCCGTCTGACAGGTGGGTAAGTTCTCAGAGCTGAATTACGAAATTCTGTTTTGTGTTCGTTCTGCTTGTTGGTGTTAGTGTAATTCTGCTTTTCGGTTGGTTTTGTTTGCTTTGTTTTACGGCATATCAACACCTCAATGGGTTATTTAATGCCGACAAAATTTTCATTACTGGTATTATTTTATTTTTCAAAAATCTATTTCTGGTAATATTTTTCCTTCAAAAATGTATTGCTGGTAATTTTTTTTTCAAAAGAAAGTATTGATGGTAATATTTTTTCCTCAAAAATGTATAGCTAGTAATATTTTTTTCAAAACCGTATTGCTGGTAAAAATTTTTCTTTTTTCAAAAATTTATTGCTGGTAATAATATTTTACAAACTATTTCTGGTATTAAAATTTATTTTTACACTTTCATAGTGTTTTTACCCCCAGTTTGGGGGTTAACTATTTGCCCATAGCTGGGACCTACAACCCCGGGTCAGGGTGGACCTAGGTTCCACGCTCCTCAAAACCTCCTGATAAGAAGCCTTGTAGTGGTTTATCGTCTTACCCAGGACGCGGATGTAGTTTATTGTCATACCCAGGACAGTGTTTTTCAGTGTTAACTGCGTTCTGCTTTTCGATGTTAACTTTGATGTGCTTTTCTGTATTAATTTCGTTGGTAGAAGGGTGAGGTTTACATCTTGTTCTTTGCGTAGTTTTACTTCAAAGTCAGAGTTCTTGGAATTAGCAGGAGTCATGTGGGCAGTTTCAGCGAGTTGGTCGCTCGGCAACGAACTAGAAACGAACTCTTCATTTAACTGTCTCCTCGGCCTCGTGCATTTGCTTATATGGACTCTTACTCAATACCGGCGTGAGGCAAGATGCAGGCTGGGGTCTGGATGATTCCCCTAAATCCACCAAGTCTCCATTGTTCAAAAACTGATTAGACACACAAATTTGATAAGACCCCCTCTTCCGCGAGGTATGGTCGCAGGATATTGATCCGCTTTTACTCCTTCTTTCATCTATTAGCATTTTACACCAGCACCTATCGAAGGGCGTTAATAAACTCTCCACCGCTCTTGATGTCTTATCTACGCCCGTCAATATAGCTACCACCCGGCCAATGGCTTCTCGACCGTCTTGGCCCAACTTAATTTACTTCATTAATTAGAAGCCCTTATCTCCTTGGCATTTTGTTTACGTAGGTTTTTTTTTCCGGCTTGTCGCATTTAAGAATTAAAATTATCATTCGGAAATTTGCCCACGCAAGCTTTTACCCAAATTGTCAAAATTCAACACATGGCTCTTTTTGATTGGTCGTTCCCTAAATTCCATACTTGTTTACGAAAAATCTCTATTCTCCATTTCTAGACAGAAGATCATATCTTTACCGATCTTGCTCATTCCATATTCTGGACCAACACTTTTTAACGCCCGTCATACATCAAGGACAAATTGGCATTTTACATTTTCGTAATATTGAGAACCTCTTGTTCTCAGTCCCAGGTCTTCAGACCATTTTCTTGTCGAGGTGCTTATCTTGATGTTTTCATAGCTGACACTTTTATGACCTTTCGTAATTCATTACTAGAACTTGCCATATTACGTTTCTGTCATTTTGTCGCTTACGCAATTTCTTAATCCTTGAGAAATTAAGTCTTTTTCTAAAATATAAATACTCTTTATCTATATTTATTTATATTGTCTATATTTGTCGATATAGCTTTTAACCCTTATTTTCCAGCGTTAAACATCTTCCAACGTTAAATAATGTCACATCTCTCCATTAAATAATGTCACATCTCTCCATTAAATATTCTGTCATTTACCCGTAAATGACACTTCAAATCCCAATACACTATTTAACATGCAACATTGTGAGTTCAATACCTAATGATAAAATAACCACCAGAGCTCTCACGTGCTCCAATAAAATCAAGTACTGACTAGACTATTATCCTCATCTTTGTTTTCCATATTATCACACTATTTACATTATTCGGGCTATTGTCCTCACACTATTTACATTATTCGGGCTATTGTCCTCACACTATTTACATTATTCGGATTATTGTTGCCATATTTATCGTTGTACGCTCCGGCCTTCTTCAGGTGATTGGAATGTCGAACTGAACCCTTTATTGTAATTTTCGTTGTTATTATTGCTTTTCTCTGGCACTCCTTATTACTTGTTCCCATATTGTTTTCATTTCTATGCTTGGTCGGCACAGAAAGAACTACAGACAGAGACTGACTAGTCAGTCGCACCTTAGTTACAAGCTGGAAGTATTGGTTGTATAAACCCATTCAATCCTTGATATTCGGCCATTATAGTTTCTGTACTATTAAGTACCTCTAGCCTCAACTCTCTCAGGTCATTCATCAACCAATTAATACCGGCCCTATTCATTGCCATTTACCCATAGCTGGAAGGAGAAGAAGAGGATTAATACATATGGTTAATCTTTAGGGTACAATAAGAAAAGACTCTTATTGAAAATACGGGAAAATTGAAGAGAGAAGAAATTGTTTATTTACAATAATTTATACAATCTTTATGAAAAGGAGAAGAGCGTAAAGAATATTTTCTTTTCTTTTGAGCACGTAATAAAAATTAAGCTAGGCAGAGAAAAATGTCCATTTGTATGTAGGGACTGTTGGTTTGTAAAGTTTATAAAATGCACTTGGTAGAGGGAGAGAGATAGCAAAAGTTCACGAGGCATTGTTAATGTTCGGACCTGTCCGGACCGATAGGTCAACGTAGTAGCGGAATCATTCGTTGTTGAATGAGGTGTGCCGAGAGAAAGTCAACAACGAGTCGAAGCAGATAATCCTTGTAAAACGATGATAGAAAGGTTTAGTCCGTTTGTTTTACATGTTCAATTTTTTCTGCATTAAATTTCGTATGTTACCCGGTATTGTTGGTTGACCAAATGGTAATTCGGAGTGTAAAGTCATCTTCTCTTCATGCTGAAAATGTTAATTAATTTCTTCGCAAACATCTATTCTGACTATCATTCCTAATGAGACGTGAATGAATAGTGAATCTCAGGAAGTTATCTTTTCGATTTTTTTTTGTTTTTGTTTGAAGATATACAGATAGATTATGAATCTAAGGAATTATAGGCGAATTTTTAAAAGTATTTGTGTTTTTCCCCTGCAAAAAAATACTCAAATTTCCCGCTCATATGTATGTATATATGTGTGAGTATTTGTGTGTGTATATATATATCAACACTTCAGGGCCGGCCTGACGATTGCGTCTAGCATGAAACAGTCTGTCGCCTCTGGGTGTTGACTTCAGTGTTCACTTTTATATATATATATATATATATATATATATATATATATATATATATATATATACGTGAACAAAGAGAAAGTATGAGTGAGTTCGTGAGTGACTGAGTGAATGAGAGATAGTTGAATTGATAGATTCTTATCAACTTATATTTTAGTCGATAAACGTAAAGAATTTCGTAATGACAGCTATAAACAAATTAGAATCGATTTAATGATAATTGTAAAGACAGGAATAGATATTTGCTAAATGAAATAACTGTCAATATATGCACGGAGAGGCAGGCAGATAAAAAAAATGTCTGTGCGCATGCGCACTTGTCTGCGTTCCTCAGCGATGGGAGACGGCAGCAGAGGAACAAGTGATGTCCTGTTTGAAATCACAGCTCTCATTTCGTCAGTTTTTCAATTTGGATCTTTGAAAAAAATTATCTTTTACTCCGGTGATTTTTTTTTTCCTTTCACCGTTTGTCAGTTATTTACTGACTCATTGCTAAAGGAGGCCAATCAGAAACTGGTAAAGTGGAAAGAAAAGAAGAAAGAAAGAAAAATTCAAATAAGGAATAACAAATCCTTTCAAAAAATGAACGTGTTCAGCAAACAATTGCTTGGGGAATATTTCTGCTCACCGATGAATAAAATAAAGCGAAAAAAAAAACGAAAAAAAAAAATCGAAAAAGAAAGAGGAGGAGAGGAGGACGAAAGAAAATGAAATAGGAGTGAAAATTTTAAATAATTTTCAAAAAGGAAGAGAGGGTGAGAGAAGAAAAGATTAGAGGGTGGAATAGATGAGGTACGGAGAGAGAAAAAGAGAGAGAGAGAGACAGAAGATTAGAGGGTGGGAAGGATGCGGTACGAAGAGAGAGTGAGAGTAGAAAAGAAAAATATAATAAAGAAAAATGAAAGGAAAATGGTTTAATCTTTTCCATCAAATAAAAATATGAAAAGATTGGAAAAATACGAAGGAGTAAAAAAGAAATTAAAGGGTACAAAAATGTTAATTACAAAAAAGAAATATAAATGAAAGTAAACGAAAGATTTTTTTATAAAGAGAAGAAGAGGAAGCAGAAGAAGATAAATATAGACTAAGAAGAAGAAGAAGAAGAAGAAGAAGAAAGAGGAGGCGAAAAAGAGCCGCTAAGAAGTAAAAAAAAAACAAAGAATAGAGAAAGAGAAAGTGGTGATAAAACAGGAGGAGGAGGAGGAAAGAGATGAAAAGGAAGTGGAAAGATGGAAAAGAAAGAGATAAAGAGGAAGAATAGAGACGAAAAGAAAGGAAAGGAAATAAATTGGGCGATAAAGAATGATAGAGCTGATAAAGAAGAAGAAGAAGAAGAAGAAGAAGAAGAAGAAGAAGAAGAAGAAGAAGAAGAAGAAGAGCCACGACGAAGTAAGAAAAGAAAGAAAAGTGATGATAAAGTAGGAGGGAAAAGATAGAGAAACAGTTATGAAAAAGTATATAAAGGAGAAAAACGAAAAGAAAGAAAGAAAAGTAAAGAAATAGATAGAAAGAGACGGTAAAGAACTATAAAGCGATGACAAAGAAGAAGAAGAAGAAGAAGAAGAAGAAGAAGAAGAAGAAGAAGAGATACATAAACTATTTTTAAAGTCAAAGGAAGAGAAGAGGATAAAGGAGAAAAATGAAATAATAAAAAAGGATAAAGTAGAGAAGTGGGGTTAAACGATTTCTTTTAGAGATAAGTAACGAGTAAAAAAATTGCGCGCACTTAAAGTTGGTGTCATTATTCGTCTGTTGCCTTGGTAACAGCCCCTTTTTTTTCCCACCCCCAATAAAACGAAAAGACGGATTTCCTTCCTCTTCCTCTGCCAGCGCAGTTTGCTTTGCCACCCACGAAAAGTTTGCGCAGCGTCAGAGGACCTTTTTGCTCCAAGGTCAACTGCTGAGGACAAATACCATGGACGTCATTTTGTCTTTCAGTTTTGTTAATTTCTATCACGAAAAAAAAAAAAAAAAAAAAATTAAATGCTCTCAGGCTTGATGAGGTTTTCTACATCGAGATCAATAGAATGATGCATTCTTCTTTTATATGCCGTGTCCCTTATGTGGGTGATCAAGACTACCCACAACTTCTTTTTTGTTGCGCTAAGCAACTTTTGACTCTTCACCGTCCCTATTTATCCCCGCTTTGCCATCCATTCAAACAAACTTCTTATTAAGTATTTTGCTCGATGTTACACTCTCTTTCCTTTTTTATGACATTTTTTCTATGATTTTTCTTTCAATTATGACGAAAATAGCGATAACAATGATTTGATATACCTTCTTGCTTTTGTTTACGATAACTAGATTTGATATCCTGGCCTAAATGCAATTCTTTTTTTTTTATGAAGGATTATCTTCTAGCTTATGTATACGGGGTCTGTGAGTATACATAATGAAAATATGAAAACAGTTTAATCATGAAAATCTTTATGTCATTATTAAAAGGAAAGACCAAAGGATTATATTAACAATTATTAAATTATATTTTTTATCCTTTTTAAGAAACGTAGTAAAAAAAAAATTGTGTCGGCATTTTTGAGATAAGTTTTGATCATTTATTTAGTAATTTGTGTTGTTCAGGGAAGTTGATTAAAGCCATTTCTGCTCCAGATAGAATTTACAGTTTTTCGATTTATTGTTGTAGGCTTTTGGTGAAATTTGGTTTTTGTTTTTAATTTCCCAGATGTGTTTAGAAATTGTTATGCTGTTCATGTATTTACTATTTGTAAAGGATATTTTGTGTGCGTAGTTTCTCTGTTTGCAGTGTCCTTCGGTTACTCCTATGTATATTTTTTCATCGTTATCTGCTGATTTTAAAGAGGCTTGGTATATTATATTATTTAGCAAGGAATTGCCATTTAAGGGGCATTGGTGCTTTGCTCTGTAGTTACAGGTGGGTTTGATTTCTGCTGGTGTTTGTTGGTTATTTTTCTGTTTTTTTTTTATTATTTGTATCATCTTCTTGGTGCAACTGAAGCTGGTCTTTACTGTGTTTTTATTGAATATCTTGTGGAGTGTGCTTGATGGACGGAAGTGTTTATATGAGTTTAATGAATATTTTTTCCTACATTAGTTTTTACGTTTTTGTTGTACGGTGGGTTAAACCATATGATATTCCTTTTTCTATTGACTCTTTTGTACTGTGTGTTGTGTATGTGAGTGTTGCCGAAAATCCATTATTTTTTAGGGCTGTTTCATAATCTTTTCTGACTTCGTTAAAGAGGGTTTCATTAAAAGAATTATCAGATTAACTGCGGTTAATTGATTGTGGGTTCTGTCTGATCATTGTTGACGGGTGGTTGGAAGCTTTGTGCATGTAAAGGGATTTGTTGTTAAGTTTTTTATAGGAATATATAAATCATCTTAAGATGAGGGTGACATCTAGGAAATCTACATTTTGTTTTTGTGCCTATGTTATTTCCTATATTTTTGAAAGTGTTTATTATTATTATTATTGTTATTCTGGATTTGTCTGTTTGTTATCTACTACAGTTTCTTCGAATTATAAAGACCACTGTCCCTGTAGAGGCCTATATCATTTTTATCGATTATTTTGCTTAGATCATGTAGTAAATGTATGGCTATAAGCTCGCAGGTTTCTATACCATCAACATTTCCATTGTGACGTAGAACGTTCCTTCTTTCATTAATCATACTTTTTCGTTGTTGGATAATAGCTAATTTCGGTAGAGTTTGATGATTTTTACTTCGTTTGTGTTTATCTTTCTTGAGCTAAAGAGATAGCCTTATAGAGCATATGTTCGGTTATATATATAATTTGGCGGAGTGGTTAGAACGTTCGCTTTCTGACCATGAGACCCGGGTTCGAACCTCACCATGGTCGATTCGTCAGGAAAACTTTATCTGATGCTATCCCAAAATTGAAAGTGCCTGAAAACCATAACATGGGTTTACTCAAGTTGTGCTAGCACATATCATCGTGATCGAGGGTTTGAGCTTTCTCCTAGAAACTGTAACTAAGGTCTGCTCAGCTTAGCTGCAGTATAAACCACAGGTGGGCTCTGTGGGTGTTGAATAAACACAAATGTGCCTGAGGAAGTGCCTACAATAGGGATTGGCTAGCCTAGTAGACAGGTATCCTCTATTATGATATACATACATACATATATATATTTATTTATTTATTATGGACAGCCAGCAGATATGATTTGATTATAGTGGTGAAGGCTTTGTGCAGAACCAACCACACTTTTTGACTACAGAGACCTGGTGGACTAACTGCTACAAGTTCCCTTTCACAGGTTTTGATTTCACAGTTGTCCTTCTCCTAGACCAGTTGCCATTCAAGGCTATAGAACCCAGTCTGTCCTGCTAATTACCCATAGCTGGAAGGAGAAGAGTATTCATACCTTTCCCAAGGGTATTAGCATGTAAGTGAATGCAATGGATTCTACTGGAATTTCCAAGCCCTCAGTTCAAGCTGCTACTCACTACTCCCCAATAGCTCATATATATATATATATATATATATATATATATATATATATGAAGAGAGAGAAAAGAGAGAGAGAGGGAGAGATTATATTATTAAATTTATGAAGGAAGAATTTATTTAATAATGGTGTAGTGGATAACGGCTCAGATTCGGAGAACCAAATTTCAGTCGAGTTCTGCATTCACTTATGTGGAAATATCCTTTGGAAAGATATAAAATTCATCTTTTTTCTGACTCCCCCAACTATGGGTAAATAGCAGGACAGACTGGGTGCTATAGCCCTGGTGGCTAACTAGTCTAGGAGAAGAACAAACTCTGAATCCAAACCAACCTGGAGAGGGTTGGCAAAGGGCAGATTAGTTTATTATAGGGGCCAAAAGCTATCATGCAATTGTAGCATCATCTGCCATGTGGAAGACAATGCACAAACCCAGAATGTGGTGGTATGATGGAGAGCTTTGCATTGCAGGGCACAGGCAATTGAACACTTTAAACAATTTACTTGTGTTGATTGTTCAGTAAAAAATTAGATTTTACTGAACACACAAGAAAAAGTATACATTGGTTCTATTGAAGGAACATTTAAAACGAGATACTATAATCATTAATATTCCTTTAAGCTAGCAAGGTACAAAAACAGCACAAAACTTGTTAGTTATGTATGGAAAAGAAAGGCAAAACATAACCAACGTTCCATTGTGAAATAGGATATGCTGAGAAAAAAATGGTCATTTAACATCAGGAATAAAATATGTAAATTATACCAAGAGGATAAAATGGCAAACAACATAAACTGCTTAATGAAAGATCTGAGATCATGACAGCATGAATTCCTATGAACAAGATTGTTTGTTTAGCTGCATATCAACACCCTTATGAGTCATTTAATGTGGAAATTTAATTTTCTTGGGAGCACTAGTAATTTCTTTTACGAAAATGTATTGCTTGTAATTATTTTGTTTTTCAGAAAACGTATTGCTGGTAATTTTTTATTTTTTTATTTTTTACAAAAATTTATAGCTGGTATTTTTTTATTTTTTACAAAGATATATTGCTGGTAATTTTTTTTATTTTCTTACAAAAATGTATAGTGATATTTTTTTACTTTTTACAAAAATGTATTGCTGGTATTTTTTATTTTTTACAAAAATCTATTGCTGGCAATTTTTTAGTTATTTTTTTTAATTTTTACAAAAATGTAATACTGGTATTTTTTTCCAAAAAAAGGCATAGCTGATAATTTTTATTTTTTTAAATTTTTTATAAATATGCATTGCTGTTAATTTTTTTTACTATAAAATTGTTTAAAATTTTATACTGTTGTGACCTCCAGTTTGGTGGGGGGTTAACTATTTACCCATAGCTGGGACCTTAGCAGGTCCTACCAACAAAGATAAGGGTGGACCTGGGAACAATAGCAATTAGGTGATTCCATACTCCTCAAAACCTCCCAGTCAAAGGTCTTGCTGCCAGATGTAATTTACCGTCACACTCAGGATGGTACAAACAATGAACTGGGCAAGAGTATTTATAAAAAAAAAAACATGTCAATTTTTCCCCTCCTTTCTTTTTCACCTTTACCGTATATCCAATTTTACTGCCTGCTGATATCTGATTGATAGAAATTACGGTAAGAAGAAGGTTGTTTTTCAAATTTTTATCTCTTAAATATTTATATATATATATATATATATATATATATATATATATATATATATATATATATATATATATATATATATATATATTTGTATGTATTTGTTTAAATTTACTTATCTTTTCTTAATCCAATTTTCAAAAATGTTCTGATTTTAAGGGCGATAATTCGATAGTTTATCATATTCGAGTTACCTCCCTTGCGCTCGGCACAAATATTTTTGAAAAAAAAGCAATTAGAATTGTTAGGGTCTTTAATTGAACAAATATTTCTTATATTAAATTCTTTGATAAATGATTCAACAAGCTTTACAGAAAATATGCTTTATGTAAAGTGAAAGATGCAGTGCTACTGTCAGCTGAAATGTATTAAACCTTTCTTATAAAATAATTTTCAGGAAAACAAGTT